CAAAATTGTGTCTTTTAGCTAATGTTAACCTATACTTTTGCTAAATGTTTCCTCCCTAACATCATATAACTTCTATTTTAAGCTGACACTTTTTGCAGTTTTGAATTGAAGTGTATCAACTTCAGTCTAATTTTGTTATATTTTTTGACTGTGATATTTTTAAAAAGAGACTTTTAAGGATACTTAGCATCCTTTGCGGTAACTTTTTGATGTTTTGCTTTAAGTAAAAATTTGAAAACATTTGTATATATTCATATATATGTATACTGTATACACACACACACACACCGATATATACACATATATACATATATATTTATACAGTATGTATATTTGTCTGTATATACGAATGTCTTGCAGTAACTTTTCTTTTTTATCAGCATCAATCCACCAATAAGAGCACAAATAAACTGAGTTGTTCCTATTCCTTTTTCCTAGTACTTTTATTGTTACAACAATATCAACTCTAAAATGACTCTCTGAACGACTCTGTTTATTAGCAAGCAAAGGATCTGTGTTTGCTATTAAAAAGGCGAAGTCAATGTTCAGTCCATTGGCCGCCCACTCGCTGGCTTTGCTGTTCATGGTATCAGTTGACACCTGCTGTGAAATACTCTAATGGGTCAGATTCAGACTGACATGCGTAATTTGCTTTGCCTCTAAATGCAGCTGCGGACCGTCGTCTCGGTGGCTCAGCGGGCTAAGTCTCCACCTTGTGTTTGCCGAGCTGTAATCTTGTTAACGTGATCCTTTGCACATTTCACCGCAGACAGGGGATCAATAAGTGGCTCGTGGCTCCGTTTGGTGTGCCGACACTCACACCCTTCTATAAAGTACTTCTCCAGATTACTGTGTTGCTAAACAAGAAGAAAAACTCAGCTTCATGCCAATCAATCTCAGTGCTGCATAATCACAGCCCTTTTTTTTCATCTCTGCTGTGTGTGGGTGATTATTTTTTTATTTATTTCTACTGACTTTCCTCCATAAATACACACATCTCAATCAGCCTGGTTTGTTATTACATAACACACTTAAATGAAGAATGAAAATGAATGGAAATAATTAACTATTGTATTCAGGTCTTGTACAAACAGTTGATATAATAAGTGCTGCTTAAGCTAACTGTGCTAATTAAGGGCGACTGTGAGGAACTGGATGACATTTCTTCTTCTTTTGTAAAGATAGGCATTTTATTTATTTAGCTTTTTTTCCCCCCTCTCTCTCTCTCTTTCTTCACTGTACACTTATAACACTAGTGTTATAAGTTTATAAGTTTCTGGATACAGTTTTGTCATATTTAAACTTTCTTGCTTTAAGCTTTATTAATGTTGGATCCTTAGTTAACCTTCCTAATATTGGAACATTTATTTTGTCACGTTTTGTAATATTTTATATTTTATAACTCCACATGTATTTTGGTGCATGTTTGGTAAAACTTTAGGAGCTACAGAAGTTTCACCTTTATGACCAGCCTTTAGCTGTTAATGTTTAAGTTTATTTTTTCGTTTCACCTTTATGACCAGCCTTTAGCTATCAGCTATTAATGTTTAAGTTTATTTTTTGTAAATATTTGTATACATATACATATACTGTACCAAAAACAAAAAAAGAATTTGGAACCTCTTTGTGTACTGTAGATGTACGGCACGTGAACATCCTCAGAGCTCAATGCTACATTTTCGAGGCTCAAGACCAAGTTATAACTCAACGTCTATGTCTTACTTGTTCTATCGTTCTATGACTTTCTTCGTTATAATTGCATGTCTTCCTCTTCTTCCCGTCTCTACTTTATTCCACTTTGCTCCCTTTCTTGAAATTGATTTTCGCCCTCTTGTGGATTCCTCTGATTTCCATCCATGCCTCATTTTTTCCCGCTGGATCACCACCTCTAATTTTCTCTCAGTTCTTTTCTCTCCATCTGTGATTTCCTACAATCCTCCTGTTCCTCACCTCGCTGCCGTGTCCTTCCTCCTTTTTTATTTTATACCTAAATCCATTCACTCTCTCCCCTGCTATCTCCTCACTCCCCCCACCCCCCTTTACACTCAAACTATTCATCGATTGACTCGCCCATTTCTTGCCTGAATACGTCTGTATGTCGTTTATGCCTCTTTTACATTGAAATTGTTCTGGTATCTCTGGCATTGATCTCTCATTCTTTCTTTTCTGTCCCCTGCTTCAACCGCTACTCATCTAACCACTCACACGGATGGATGGATGGATGGATGGATGGATGGATGTGTGGATGGATGGATGGATGGGTGGGTTAGGGTTAGGAAATCTAACTTCAACAACAGCAAATGCAGCATCACCGACAGGTTTCTAAAAAAATATAAAAACTAAAGTAGTGTTTGTGTTGTATAAATATGATATGGTAATTATTTTGGCAAATTTATCAGCTTAATTTAATGAAATGTAACACATGGACAGATATATGTCTGCTGTATGTACAGTTTATCCCATAATTCCGATCATCCTCTCACTTATCGTTGCTCTACCATCTCAACTTCGAGCATGTGTTTGTACGAGCGTTTGTTTTACCTTCCTAACACATGTAACGCATATGTAAAAGTTTAATTACCCATGATTAATTTGAATTAATTATTAATTAATCAATATTCAATAATTAATCAAGGTGTGGGATCATGGCTGATCATGAATAAAGCCTTTAAATCATCCAGGTTAATAACTTACTAAGCACTCAACACTGTTTGGGCTGCACTTAGCTACTAGCTGCGTGTCTGTTGACGATGTTTTTATTTTTGTTATAATTATACGTTATAATATCACTTTGAGGAGCTGAGTCGACAGTAGCGGCACAAACAAAACGTTGGACAGTTTTAGGAAACGAGTCCAGCTTTAAACCGTCCACAGCGACACCATCAACGACGCTGCAGCCAGAGATGAAGTTCCTGTTCTCTGGGCCTCAGCATATTTATGATGTCACATACTGGGCTGCATCACTGCGTGGATGGATGGGATGTGACCCAGTGATAAACTTACCTTTATTCAAAAATGGTTTTTGCCACAGACGTGTTATAGATGTAAAATTAATCTTGTTATAAGTTAATGTTTTTTTTTTTTTTAAGAATTAAGTAGCTTATTCAGAACACTGTTGCCTGACGATAAGAGATTACAGTGCAGATTCAGAGAACTTTATTTATTCCCCAGGGCAGATTGAAAGGGCACGGAGTCGCATAATGAAGGAAACGGGAAAAGATCATTATAAATACGGAGACAAATCAAGGAGGAAGAACAAACAGCAGAGTCAAGGTAATAAATGTGGTGAACATGCAAAGGCTGTGGTCTCCTAGCAATAACTATTCATTACAGTCATCAAGGAAGCGATAACTGCGTAGAGAAGAAGACGGTGATTGAAATATAAAACATCGCGGTATTTTCTCCCGTTGCTAAAAAAACGTTCTTTAAACAGTCCACCAACTTTGTCCAAACTCCAGTCTATTTCACTCTGCTCTTTCACCTTCTTCCATCCCACTGCTCCTCCACCTCTCTCTCCCTCCCTCCCTCCCTCTCTCCCTCCCTCTCCCTCATGCTTTTTGCCTCCCTCTCTCTCAGTCGTCGCTGGCTCGCCGTGCAGTGCGGACCTCCACAGCATCTCTCTCTCTCCCTCCCTCCCTCCCTCTCTCCCTCCCTCTCCCTCATGCTTTTTGCCTCCCTCTCTCTCAGTCGTCGCTGGCTCGCCGCGCAGTGCGGCCCCCCACAGCATCTCTCTCTCTCCCTCTCTCTCTCTCCCTCCCTCCCTCTCTCCCTCCCTCTCCCTCATGCTTTTTGCCCCCCTCTCTCTCTCAGTCGTCGCTGGCTCGCCGTGCAGTGCGGACCTCCACAGCATCTCTCTCTCTCCCTCCCTCTCCCTCATGCTTTTTGCCTCCCTCTCTCTCAGTCGTCGCTGGCTCGCCGTGCAGTGCGGCCCTCCACAGCATCTCTCTCTCTCCCTCCCTCCCTCTCTCCCTCCCTCTCCCTCATGCTTTTTGCCTCCCTCTCTCTCAGTCGTCGCTCGCTCGCCGTGCAGTGCGGCCCCCCACAGCATCTCTCTCTCCCTCTCTCTCTCTCTCTCCCTCTCTCTCTCTCTCTCTTTCTCTCTCTCTCTCTCTCTCTTTCTCTCTCTCTCTCTCTCTCCCTCCCTCCCTCTCTCCCTCCCTCTCCCTCATGCTTTTTGCCTCCCTCTCTCTCAGTCGTCGCTGGCTCGCCGTGCAGTGCGGCCCTCCACAGCATCTCTCTCTCCCTCTCTCTCTCTCCCTCCCTCCCTCTCTCCCTCCCTCTCCCTCATGCTTTTTGCCTCCCTCTCTCTCAGTCGTCGCTGGCTCGCCGTGCAGTGCGGACCTCCACAGCATCTCTCTCTCCCTCTCTCTCTCTCCCTCCCTCTCCCTCATGCTTTTTGCCTCCCTCTCTCTCAGTCGTCGCTGGCTCGCCGCGCAGTGCGGCCCCCCACAGCATCTCTCTCTCCCTCTCTCTCTCTCCCTCCCTCCCTCTCTCCCTCCCTCTCCCTCATGCTTTTTGCCCCCCTCTCTCTCTCAGTCGTCGCTGGCTCGCCGTGCAGTGCGGCCCTCCACAGCATCTCTCTCTCTCCCTCTCTCTCTCTCTCTCCCTCCCTCTCCCTCATGCTTTTTGCCTCCCTCTCTCTCAGTCGTCGCTGGCTCGCCGTGCAGTGCGGCCCCCCACAGCATCTCTCTCTCCCTCTCTCTCTCTCCCTCCCTCCCTCCCTCTCTCCCTCCCTCTCCCTCATGCTTTTTGCCTCCCTCTCTCTCAGTCGTCGCTGGCTCGCCGTGCAGTGCGGCCCTCCACAGCATCTCTCTCTCTCCCTCCCTCTCCCTCATGCTTTTTGCCCCCCTCTCTCTCTCAGTCGTCGCTGGCTCGCCGCGCAGTGCGGCCCCCCACAGCATCTCTCTCTCTCCCTCTCTCTCTCTCCCTCCCTCCCTCTCTCCCTCCCTCTCCCTCATGCTTTTTGCCTCCCTCTCTCTCAGTCGTCGCTGGCTCGCCGTGCAGTGCGGACCTCCACAGCATCTCTCTCTCTCCCTCTCTCTCTCTCTCTCTCCCTCTTCATCCTCTCCTCCTCATCTCCTCCGGTCTGTGCTATGACAGCTCACAGCAGCGGCGTGTTGTCCGGTCTCAGAGCGTCCAGCCGTCACAGGTCCACCTGTCCAAACCTCAACATGGACAAGTTCTGGTGGGATATTCGTGACTGATCCGCGGCTGTTGCGCGCGCGCGCCCGCGCGTGTGTATGTGTGTGTGCGCGTGTGTGTAGATACATACTGTTTTCACATATTTGTACAAGGAAAAGGTGGAAACATAGCAGGAGGGGGTCGGCCGCCCTCCTTTGCGTCCCCCCTCCGCTTCCTTCAGCCAAGCAGAGCGGCGAGGTGGGGATTAAAAAAAAAAAAAAACAAAACCCAAAAGCTTTTTGAAATAAGCTTGCTTGGATTTATTTAACAACAACATGACGGAATTGGGAGGCACGGAGCTGCCGCCGATGCTGCTCCTGACTGGGGAGAAGACGCGCAGACACAGAAGACGCGACCTCCCGCTTCTCCTGCTGCTGCTGGGGCTCCTCGTCGGGGATCTCTGCCCGTCCAAGGGTGAGTTTGTGGGGAGCATTTGTCTGAGGTTGTGCACGGACGTCACGCGGCTGTGGCTGTGTGTGTGTGTGTGTGAACCAGGACATTTTGCTGGTCAGAGTGAAGACATGCGCTTCATGTGTGACGTTTCTGGTCGCAGACAGCTTTTTTCCTCTCTTGTGTGTGTGTGTGTGTGTGTGTGTGCGCGTGCGCTACAGAGTTGCGTACGCGCGTGTGTGCGCTCCGCAGCTCTAGATATGACGTGCGTGTATCCTCCTGGGCGTGCGTGCTTAAGATACAGAGAGTGTTGGGGAGACGGAGAGAGCAGGAGGCAGTATGCAGCGTCTCAGAGTGTGTGTGTGTGTGTGTGTGTGTGTGACAGAGAGAGAGAGAGAGAGAGAGTCCAACTTGGTATTACATCTGGGGAGTAGAGCATGGGCATTCTCATTTCGTCGGTGCCCCCCCCCTCCCCCCCCCACTCTTCCCTCTGTGCAGATATTCACACACAAATAAATAAACCCGACTTTATCCTGTTTGTCCTGAGTGTAAACACAAAAGAGCTCCCAACAAATCTTGTTCACTCTAAGCCAGATAACTCCTCACTCTCTGTGACTGTAAACGAAATCAGCACAGACGGCCTCGGGCCGTGGCTACAACAGACGGAGAATATATTTAGGAGCTGGACTGTGCGGTGGCCCAGGGAAGCCCCCCGTAATGGAACTGATACCATCTGAGCAAAAGTCCACGTGAAATTGGAATCATTTTTCCCTGTGCCCCAAGTACACACGCGCTTCGGGGACACGCGGTGAATGAGTGTTATGTGCCCTTGCCTTACTCCAAAAAAGATTGCCAGTTTAATCCCTTTCTCCCTGAAACGTTGTTGCCTCTTCTCAACGTCTCCCCCCACAGTCAGAAAAAACAGTCAGGCTTAGGATTTTACTCTGAAGTCCTTTTGGTTCTTCTTTTTCTACGTGTGGTCCTGTGAAGGGCTGGTGAACTGTCCTGACTGGACTCATCCTCGTTGTTGGCTGCTTAGATTCTGACCCTGAAAGGAAACAGGAGGTAGAAGATCATTTAAATCTGCTTCAGTGTAAGGTCTGTTGCTTTGGACGCTTTGTGTCTATGTTCAAAATAAACACGGACGGCCTCAGGTCGTGGGTATGAGAGGAAAAAAAAATAAAAAAATAAAAATATATATATATATATATATAGCAAATGCACTTTGTGGAGACTCAGTTTTGTGTAACTAATAACTCTCTGAATGAAGGTCGAAGCACTGAGGCTACTTTTACCCTATTTTTTTTTTTACATGAGTAAAAATGAGTAAATGTCTTTTTTTTATTTTCTTTTTCATGTTTGTAACATTTAGAGAGAATTACACTAAAATTTCAGTTCAGTGCAGAGTTGAAGCAGTAGCTGTGAATGTGGGAATGACTGTCAGATTACAGTTTAGTCAGATTACAGTTTAGTCAGATTACAGTTTAGTCAGATTACAGTTTAGTCAGATTACAGTTTAGTCAGATTACAGTTTAGTCAGATTACAGTTTAGTCAGATTACAGTTTAGTCAGATTACAGTTTAGTCAGATTACAGTTTAGTCAGATTACAGTTTAGTCAGATTACAGTTTAGTCAGATTACAGTTTAGTCAGATTACAGTTTAGTCAGATTACAGTTTAGTCAGATTACAGTTTAGTCAGATTACAGTTTAGTCAGATTACAGTTTAGTCAGATTACAGTTTAGTCAGATTACAGTTTAGTCAGATTACAGTTTAGCATGAGATTCTTCTGTTGCCATTGTTGCTGTTTGTGTCACTGCTTCCGTTATCGGTCTCTGCTAATGGAGATGCCTTAACTGTGGATTTTATATCCCATCATCCCATCCCTTATATGTTATAATTAAAATACTTGAGTCACCACCATGATGACCAACATTAGAATTCAGCAGCGCAGACCTTCAATGTTAGCTTCAACCACAGAAAAGTTTATAAAGATGTTTATGTTTAAATGTTGGATTAATTGTGCATGACTGTGGTATGATTCAGATTTATTCAGTTGAAAATGTAAATGTGAAAATATGATTTTTCCCCACGTACCACTAGAGAGCGCTACCACAGTTTGAGAACCACTGGCATATTAAACACATATATTAACATAAAGTTTTCTCTGTTCAAAATACTTGTGTTTTTCAGCCTTTAAGTGTTGTAGAAAGGTAAAAACAGGTTGAAATCATGTTTGGCTTTTGAAAACCCAGATTGAAAGACGTGCTATGAAAATGTCGATTTTAACAGCGGTTACTTCTTGTGGTACCTTGTTGTTACTCACTGAAAAGATCTGTTATTTTACCAACTGGGTAAAAACCCGGCGCTCGTTTGAGGTTCTGTTTGGACGAGTCCGACACGCAGCACCATGTTACTGTCCCTGTGGACACGTCGCTTGGCTCGGTCTCACGTATGTGTGAAAAACACTGATATGAACCGGCGCATGATTGATTGACAGCTGGACCACAGCCAAACACCCAGTTACCGATAGCCACCTGATGGCCGCAGATGGCCTCATCCATCTCTCACATTTATAAATCTGGTCTACGGTCGTGGAAATGGATGTGGAGAAATGTCGTCTGGATGACGTGCAGTGAGGGAACTCTGCGTTGGTAGTGAAACATGGTTTCGGTGGAGTCGGACTCTCCCGGGCCGCGGAGAGACTGCTGATGATATGACAAGGATTTAATGCTGTGTGTCAGGAGCCCAGCAGGTCTGTGTTGGTGGGGATTTTGTGACCACGGAGGGCGACAGTGCGGTGGATGAATGGATGCGAGGGAAGTGTTAACATTCTCCTCGTTTGGTGCACGGGAGCTACTGTCACTCTGTTTATCAATAGCTTCTCTGTGTGCACTCACCCTCCCGCTCTTTCAAAATGCCAGCCCCTCTGCATTTCTCTCTTAATCTCCCCTCTCTTTCTCTCTCTCACACACACTCCCCTCTCTCTCTCTCCCTCTCTCTCACACATAAAAAAGTGTCAGATCTTTGTCGTCTGTGATTAAGTGACATATAGTTTCAAACTGTTTTCAATGTTTATTTCTGGTCTGTACATGTGTTACTGTCATCGCTGTGTTTTCAGGGACCTGGAACTTCACAAATATCTTTGGTTTTCAAACACCTTGCGTTGATGAGGGCATTTTTTTAAGGTCCCCTAAAAGAGTGAGAGGGTATTCCAAAGGTCAAGATTTATTTTGGAGCGAGGATTAGAATTACTGTAGAGTCAGATTAGCATTGGAGTGACGTCCAGATTAGTCATATATTTGTATTGAGTCAGTGAAAGGGGCTGGAGAATGCTTCATATCAATGAGGACTGCTCAGAAAACTTTCCCGTACAGAGCTCTGTCCATGTACTTCACGTGTTACTTTTATCTCCCTGCTGGGCAGTGAGACTTTCAGATGAAGGCATTTACAGAAACGCAGAAGGTGTTTCGGTGAAAATAGGACTGCGGACAAAAAAAAGGTGCACGTCAGTGAACATGATGACGTGCGCGTATGCTGTTTGGGATGAGTCCAGCTGCTTCTCGTCACCTGCTGCAACGTTGAACGCAATCTGTGGAGACGCACGTCAAGTATCCCAGAATATAGCCTCTGATATATGGGCTATAAAATCCAAGGCTCTTTCCTAATTTAACAGCAATAAAAAATACTTTGAAAAAACAAAATAAAACAAAACCGATTTTGTTGCGAACCCCTAACCAAGTGCGATGGCTTTGACTTTTGCTTCCAAACCCCAGCACTCTCAGGCCTCCATGCTCTTCTGGATCTTGAGAGTCACAGTCCAGCATCTCATTACGGTGTTTTTACTGGAGGACTTTTAAATATCAGTGGTTAAGATTTATGTCATGCCAAGCAACGTAAACCTATTGAAACTGCAGTAATTTATGTTGGAGCGCTCTTGTTTTTAATATTTATTTACTCATTTATTTGTGTTAAGCACATATTAAAATGCTGATAAAAAAAAACAACTTTGTAAAGTGTAAAGTTGCCGCTGCTCACAGCAGGCGCCTTTAATTCACAGTAAAAGCAGCCTTTTGGTTAATGTGTTTGTAAAGAATTGGATTATGCTTGACCTTTGGCCTTATTTACAGTTCACAGTGCTGCTGGGTGCCAAACAGAGTCACGACATTTATCAACAGGTTGTTCACTTAAGGCAACATCCGCGTGTCCAACTGGGATGATAATTGACATAAAACCCAGCTCCAGCTTATGTAATTAATATATAAGTAATTACACTCTGCAAAAATCAGTGCAAAAGACACACACACACACACAGATGAAAACACACACACCAATGGAATGAGAGCTCCCACTGAGACTATGAGACACTTGTTTTAATCACACACAACACTTAGAGAAACAATCTCACAACACACACCACACACACATACACTTACACTCATTCGCATTGACACACACACAAACACACACACACACCAGGGAAGGCCATTTCCTAATTAAGAAAGTGACCCCGTCTCTCCCTTTTCTGGCCTAGGATTAATATATTTAGCAGAATTTCATTTGGTCAAACCTGATCCATCATCTGCTGTTTAACATTAACGTTTGTTTTTGCTGTTTTTTGTTCATCCTGACTAATAACAGGTTAGGGTGAAGTTTTAATACTTTTCCAAGTTCAGCTATTTTAATATCTGTGGCTAATTTTAGTAGCAGATTTGGTATTCGGATGAGCCTTTTGTGAATCTTTAGCTTCGTTATGAAACGAAGCTTAGTTTTTATTTTTGATTGTGACCGTTTTCGTGCTAGCATTTAGTAAAACTATCTCCTTTGTGCTTCTTTATTTCGAAACCATTTTTGTGGATAGTTGTTTTGGTAAGTTTTTCTGACTTCATTCTAATTTTTTTGTTTAGAGTTATGTGAGAAGTTGTCCTGTCCAGGTCCTTGGTTTACTTTTTTAAGAACTTTCTTTGGTCAAATGTTTAGCTGTTTTGCTCATTTTCACTTAGCCTTGAGGAGGATAGTATTTCT